TATCTTTTAAGATTATATATTTATATAGCAATAACCAACAGTAAAGTGAATAATTATGAGACTGAGGAGTTGTGATATAGGAGAGAAGTCTCTGGGGATTTACATCAAAGGATGTTGTAAATGTTTACAAGATAATATAAAAAGGAAATAAGTTGGTTCATGTTGTCAAACTTTAATTACTAGACAGATCAATTTTATAGCAGAAAATATCCACATATATTTTGTTTAATTATATAATTACCACTTAGTTTCATATTTGTACCACTTGATCTGAATAGAAAAAAGATACACTATACTTATGCATTCTGGTGGACTGGACCATTTTCCTCCTACACATTTTATAGAGGCAGGTCCATCAATCGCAAAGCCTTCAGTACAATTGTAGGTGACTTCTTCTCCATATTGGTAATTGTCTACCTTTAGCAATAGAGCACCATGTGGAATCAAAGGTGGAGGTTCACAAGGAAGACCTAAAAAGAAATGAAAGTATGATTCCATGTTTCACTTATTCTGGGATTTGAGTTAATGCACAATACAGGAGCTACCATCACATCACAGAGAAGGCACACAGAACTTTAATTTACTTACTTATTTCAGAATAAGTATACTTATTTCAGAATTATCAATGCTTCTCTATGTATAGTAGTAGAAATTAATCATCTTAAGGAAGCTTCATATATTCTAAGATATCAGAAAAGACATTTTAAGAAGAATCTTAAAAAAATTTGTAACACCTGGTGACAGTCAAATATACAATGTTTAATAAATAGGTAGGAACAAGAATTTGTAGGTTTAAATGATCAGAGTTTTAATTTCACAACATACTCAGCTTAAACATAAAATTGTTAGAATTTCAAGTGATCTATAATGAGTCAGTAAAATGAACAATAATAGGATTGATTTGATTATGGAAACATTTGTGAGTAAAATTAAAAAATTATATATTTTGTTTGATTGTTTATTTTTCAGTGATTTTACTGAAAATGGAATTTAGTTTGTATGGTGTTCTTCCTCACCTATACACTGAGGTAGAGAGCTCCATTTTCCCATGTGACATGTTATCTCTTCTTCGGCAGATGTCTTGAAACCATCGTCACAAATGTAACTAAATTTGGTGCCATGAGGATAGGTCTTAGATTCTAATGTAACTTTAGTTTTTTCTGGAAAGCTAGATAATTGAATGGTTCCATTTTCTATAACAGGTAGTTCTAGACATGGAATTTTTTCTATATAAAAAACAGAGATCAAGAGTCAATTACAAATATTGCTTAAGTTAAATACAAACATCATTTTGAACATTAAAATAGGGATAATTTTAACAAACTGACTTATTTAAAAGGTGAAAAAAGCTGAAACTGGAAAAGATGTATGTATCCATAAAATCTACATTACTATCCATTTATATAATATGCTCTGTTGTTCTGGCCCTGTTAGCATAAGAAATAAATTATGCATAAATGGACATTTTACAAGGTACATAATAGTTACCTGAATTTTTTGTCTGGATTCATTACACCGAAGCAAAAGAATTCTGATTGACACATAAACTAGATGCTAATTTAGCCTTTCAATATAAAGTGGAAAGATATAAAGAATTCATTTCTACAAAATACAGGGGGGGGTTTAACTTCATCTGAAAAAATCAATAAAAGGTAATCAACACTGACCAACACATTGTGGTATTGACTGCCATTTTCCATCTTTACACATAATTTCTTCTCCTCCCTGAATTATATAATTTTCTTCACAGAGAAGAGATATTCTTTCTCCATCATTGTAATTCACTGTAGTTGTCATTGCTTCAGCATGGAGAATCTGAGGTGGAGGTGGGCAAAGTTGTTTTGATACTTCTAAAAATATTAAAATTACATTTCTTGATTAAAAATCATGTTAACAATAATCAAGTAATAATTCAGTTCATGAGAAGCAATAATAATATATACGTGGTCAACTGATAATGTGTGTTCTGTTTAAATCAGTTCTATTTTCAGCTTTATAATACTTTACTGTATCATATTTATTTTTCTCCAGTTTCTTTTTTTTTTCTTCCTTAATCAGTTTTGAGTAACTTATGTGAAACCTACTTTAATTATTTCTAACAATTAGGGCATTCTAACAGAGTTACTCATTTGGTAGCAGGCACTACATCAAGAATGAAATCAGGATCTTATTTCATATATTCAAATAATTAAATGCATTAGGATTGGATTAAAACCCTCACAAGTTATCCTACAGGTAAAGGTTATTAGTCAGAGAAGAATTACATTTGCTAATGATTCTGATATATGTTATTGGCAGATATAAGATTTAGATATTCAGAAGTTATTTCATTAGGTTTATGCTATTTAGTGTACCTATTAGGTATGCAATGCTATTAGGTATGCTATTTAAAATTCAGAACTCGGCCCTCCCTGGTGGCGCAGCTGGTTAAAGCACAGCACTGAGAAGCTAAAGCCACTTCCACATGAGTTCCATTCCCGCCTGCCCTGGAGGTGACCCACATGGCGCGGCAGACCTCTCCTGACCCGCCCGCTGCTCCCCTCAGCAGTGTACCTTTTTGATCTGCCCGTTCTGCTCTCTGCTCTGTCTCTGGTGAAACCTCTAGCAGCCCCTGAGTCTCTGGCCTGTTCCCCAGTTCTGTATGCACAAATAAATAAAAATAAATCTTTTTAAAAAAAAATTCAGAACTCACCTGGGATTCCACTTCTAAGTTTGCCTTCAATTTAAGGGGATATGTAGGTAAATGAAATGCACTTGGATTAACATACTAACATATTAACAGCCTCACTTCAGTTACATACCTTCAGTTTATAAGAAAAGCCCTTGTAAAGAAAAGCTTGTGTATGAGCTATCATAAAACTGAGATATATATCTGAGAAATATGTGAAATATCTGTTCAACTAAGGAAAATAACTTTTTTACACCTTCCTATGATTCCTGTTACACTGTATCTTTATTTGATTAAAGGAAATTCATGTAAATGCTTTCATTTCTCCAATGTTGTATATTCAATTTAGGGAAATACTTGACTAATTAAAATATTTCATTCATGCTTACTAATATTGTCAGATTTTCTATTTCTAAGTCAAAAGCAATATTTAATTTTTAGTCAAAAACATTTTTTCTTATTTCTGTTTTAAATATCTTGGCAGTTTTATCAATTTATTTTCAAGGATTAATTTCATTTTATTGTTTATATTTTACCACTTTCTCCTGTACAATCTTAATTTGTATTTACTCTTTATAGATTTGCTAAAGTTCAGTCTAACTACAGTTTCTCTAAAAGCTGCATTATGTTCTACCAGTTGCCTGTTTATATTCTTTCTTAGCTTATAATAATGTATGCTTCAGTTATTCTTTATTTCTTTGTCCTTTTGGAAGTACGTTCTGTTCCAGTTTCTAAATTGCAGTTGCTTTTTTTATTTTGTCCTTTGCTATTATTTTATTTTTGCTTTTAGAGAGTATTTGAGGACATTGAGCACATTAAATTTGCTTGTTGGGAATTTTTTTATCACATGAAAAAGATCAACTGTTTTAAAATAATGTAGACTTCAGTACAAGAGAACCACACAAATACAGACAGATTTTTTTTTAATTACAGAAAAGTTAATTCACAATGAAAACTAGTGTAAGTGTGTATGCATACAAAAATATGTCACAGTACTTTAAACAAAGGTGGGCAGAACTAAACAAAGAGAAATACTTACAGTCCTAGTAAGCAACACTGATAGCTTTTTAACTTTGACTGATAGAACAATTAGACACAAAAAAATTTTAAAGACATTGATAAATTTGAAAAACACCACAAACCACTTTAACCAGATCTAATAATTAGAATATAACTATGTTTCTACATGAAAACATACCCACCACAAAAATAGAAAATATGTTGTACAGGGTCCTCCCTGGTGGCCCAAAGGATTAAAGCACAGTGCTATGAAGCTATCGTAGTCACTGCAGCATGAGTTTGATCCCCTGCCAGGGAGGTGACCCACATGGCATGGCAGACCTCTCCTGACCCGTCCACTGCTCCCCTCAGTAATGTAATTCATCATTCTGCCTGTTCTGCTCCCCACTCTGTCTGTGGTGAATCCTCTCACCCTCCTGTACCCCAGTTCTGTATGTACAGATACATAAATCTTAAACAAGAAAATATGTTGCACAATAAGAAACATAAGTGAATTTCAAAATACTAAAATATTATACAAAATATTTTATGACTACAAATTTTGACTAGAAATTAATAGAAATAGGTTATCTGAGCACAGTAGTGTATAATAAAAAGAATTAGGCCCTCCCTGGTGGCACAGCAGGTTGAAGAACAGCACTAAGAAGCGAAAGCCCGTTCCACATGAGTTCAATTCCTGCCTGCCCCGGAGGTGACCACGTGGCGTGGCAGACCTCTCCTGACCCGCCAGCTGTCGATCTGCCTGTTCTGCTCCCCTCTCTGTCTCTGGTGAATCCTCTCACCTTCCACATCTCTGGCCTGTACCCCAGTTCCGTATGGATAAATAAATAAATCTTAAAAAAAAAAACTTTGAAAAAAAAAGAAAAGCAATGATTTTCCAGTAACAATAAACATACCTACTGTCCAGATGTTAGTTTAAAACCACCACATTTCTGAGTGACCTACTATATATCTGACTGATGCACAAGATATCATTATTTTGTTATTTTGGTTAGTTTCTAAACTGCCTTCCAGTCTAAAACTTTATTTTTTAAGGTTTTATTTATGCATATAAGATCTGAGATGAGACCAGAGGTGCAGAGAAGAGGGGTGTGAGAAGACAGAGACAGAGTGGGTATCAGAACAGGTAAATACACTGCAGAGGGGAGCAGCAGGCAAGCCAGAAGAGGTCTGCTGTGCCATGTGGGTTAGTTCCGTGGCCAGGGATTGAACTCGTGCTTGAGTAGCTGTGGATAGCTTTATAGTCCTGAGATACAACCCCTTGTGCTACCAGGAAAGCCCCTAAAACTTATTTGTAGCATCAAATAAATAAATAATAAAAAGATAACTATTTTACAGGTTTAGAAATAGGATAAAAATTCAAGAGCTTTATTAACAGGAGCTTACCATTGCAGTTTATTTCCGGATTCCATTTTCCATTTATGCAGGTGGAATTTTTCCTTTCTTGTTTTCCTTTACATTTGTAACTTTTAGTGAAATTATGATTAAATTCAGTCTCTTGTGATGGATTTGGGTCATTTGCAAATAGCCTTGATGGCTTACACTTTTTAAGTAAATGTGTTTCTATAAAGTGAAAATTTTCCAGGAAAGATTAATTGTAAAACCAAAGACAACTACTCCAAAAATAGATACAGAATTCAATACTATCATGAAATTAGAATATATGTCTATAAATTCCACCAACCAGCTTATTCCTGATTACATTGCAAGAGATGAACTATTCTGTAGGAATATAATTCCTATCCCTCATTTAAGAAATTTTAGAGAAAATATCCATCATGGAGACATTTTCATATTGGATACTGGAAGAGCATAGGAGGTTCACTCCTTTGGATGATTACAATAGCAAACAGTTATTAGATGTCTAAATTTGTTCCCATATGTGAAATTCTACAGATTTTCACACTCACTTGTTTATTGATTTCAAGTATCTCTTTAATCTTAATTCATTAATCCAAAATAATTATCTATAAAATCAAAAATGTGTATTCTCTATAGAGAATCAAATATATAATGTTGCTAGTTTTAGTATATTTTTTCAAGAAAATTAATCCTATTTAATAAGAAAATAAATATACTATACATATAGTGTAGAACATGTTGATTTAAGCAGATCTTTTGTATGATCACCAAACAGAAACAGATACTTAAATATGAAATTGGGAATTTGAAGTCAAGAATTGTTTCCTACATATACATTTAAAATGTGAAGCAATTGGGAAATGTGAAAATGTAGCCTAGAGGCAGGTATAAAACAAGCAATGGGAGGATAAAATTGGAATTAGACCTATTACCGCTGAGAGGGGATTACATTAAAGTACATATGGGTAGAAGATTAACTACAGAAAGGAAAACTGTGAAATCAGAAGAGAATATAGTTGAAGCAAGTGTTTTGGTTTAAATTGGAGCAAAAATTAGAAAGTTTTCATGACTGATATTACTTAGGGTCATGCAATTTTGAATTCATTATAATTTGAGAATATCTCCATATTTCAGTAATGTTGCAAATGGTTTCAAATAAAATATTAAGTTGATAAATAATAATTTTAAGAGGTATTCTTACCAATGCACTTAGGAAGTTGGCTCCACCTTCCATTCATGCATGTGATTGAGCTGTGACCAATCAGAGTAAATGTTTCTCTGCAACTGACCTGTACTGAATCTCCATGGTGATATATAGGGGCAGCATTCTCAACAAGGCCATTAGCAAGGTCAGGTATATCTCCACATCTCGCCTCTGAAAATCACACAAAAAATGTTCATCTTTAAAATGTAATTTGTTATACATGAACACCAGCAAAAGTCTTAATTGCATTTAATTTTTTATGCATTACCAATACACTTAGGCAAATGTGTCCATTCTCCATCAACACATTGAATTTTATTTGAACCCTTCATCAAAAATCTGTGATTGCAAACATATTCTACCACTTCATTGTGTTCATATTCTTCTTTCTGTGCTTCTTTAACTTGTCCATTCAGGAGTTGTGGAGGTGGACCACATGATTCTACTTGCTCTATAGTAGAAATATTGGTAATTAGTGGTTAAATTGTGTATTTCACAAATTTTAAACTGTGAAAATTGTAAATTTTTTAAAACCCAGCAAAATAATTTTTTTATTTAATTTGTTTTCTATTGTATAATATATTGTAACATTCTTAAACTATGAAAAAAGAAATGTTATTTACACTTGATTCATTTCCCCCATCTCTATTACTTTTATTGAACTAGCTTGTTGGCAGTATATTTAAAGTCTGTAAAATATTTGCTAAATATAGATATTCCAAAATGCTTATAAACCAATTAATAGTTATGTAAACTATAGCTATATTAATATTCCATGAATATTTTAAAAAACACATGAACTTTCAAAAAACATCATTACTTGAGATTAACATCTGATCAACATGTTTTAAATTTGATTAAACTAGTACATGTAATTCAGTTGACTATAAGATGCTTCAACAATATTTAAACACAATGAAATGAGTTATTAACCATGCTATGTGGAATAGCTCATATTAATGTTGGACTTTGGATAGCAGGAAAAATAACAAGGTAGCCCCTCTCATGTTAACCACCTTACATGTATTGATACTTTAACTACATATTTCAGAACAATTAAAATTGTTAAATAAGGAAATCTTGACATTTCTACTACCCAGCACATATCCTCTGGTTTCATGCATTAGGTTATATACCCAATGGAAGCCAACAGAAAATAAAGAGAGGAAAAAATATTGATACCCAAATTCTAATTCTTGTTTCAACAATTGTAAATAATAATTACCTTTACATGTTGGAAAATTAGGGGACCATCCAAAGTGGTAGCACTGAACTGAATCTGGTCCAACTCTTAAAAATTTTGGTCTGCAGGATAATTTCACCACATCTCCAACTTTATATTTGTTTTTGGAAGGCTTAACTCTTAAGTGATCATTTATTCTGGGAATTGTACATTCTCTTTCTATAAGAAAAGGTCAAGTATTTTACTGAAAATATCACTGCCCACATAAATCTTAAATATGTCATATAAAAATGATGTGCCATCATCTTCAAACAACTAACAACAACAAATGTTGGCGAGGATGTGGAGAAAAAGGAACTCTCCTGCACTGCTGGTGGGAATGCAAACTAGTACAACCACTATGGAAAACTGTTTGGAGGTTCCTCAAACTGCTAAACATGGAGCTTCCCTACGACCCAGCAATCCCACTCCTAGGTATCTACCCAAAAGACACAAAAACACTGATTGAAAAAGATACCTGTACCCCCATGTTTATTGCTGCTTTATTTACAATTGGAAAAACATGGAAGCAGCCCAAATGCCCAAAAGTGGATGACTGGATAAAAAAGATGTGGTACATATATACAATGGAATATTACTCAGCAACCAAAAAGGAGAAACACATGTCTTTTGCAGCAACTTGGATGGAGCTGGAAAAGATCATGCTTAGTGAGATAAGCCAGAAAGAGAAAGAAAAATACCGGATGGTTTCACTCATAGCAGGAGTATAATGGACCAGGCGAGAAAATAACAAAAATAATGAACAACCATATACCAGAGACATTTTGTGGGGGTGAAGTGGGGAATGGGATCAAAAATGGGGGAGGGGGAAGGGAGAAAAATGCATGGGACTATGGTGGTGGCACACAGGTGATTTAGTGATGGGAAACCCGCGGGGATTACAAATCGAGATGGAAAAAAAATGTGCAACATGATGTAAAAATAAACTTTTGTAATAATTTTTAAAAAAGTAAAAAAAATTAAAAAAAAAATGGAGAAAGAGAAAAAAAATGATGTGCCAGATGTACTGCATATACAGAGGAACATCAGATAAACCTCCCTCTAAACTCATGGGAAGTTCTTTAAAAAATATTACAATATTGAACATCAGTATATGTATCTTGCAAGTTTATTTGTATTTGTAAAGGTAACTTGTTTATAATGTGCTGATTTTATAACTGATATTTATAATCTTTAGTGTTATATTTTGGTACTCAAAGGATACAACTATCTTGTCAGATCGTAGAAATACTGCTATGGTTTTTAAATTGCACACAAATAGAAATTAGTATTTTTATTTAATATTATTTGGAACTGGAAAACACTGAAACATTTCTAATATAATTGGAGAAACATTAAAAAGTCACTTCCTTAAGTAAATAAATCAAATAGAAATATTAGCAGAAAAAAACCATGATCATATTGAAATATGAAACAAAATGAAAAAACATTGTGTTCAAGGATGCATAAGTATATTCATAGTGTCCTGAATATTTACATAATAGATCATCATCTACCTTTATTATATTATCATTTATACTAGATTTTAATACATTGCTTCTTTTCCTGATTGAATTAAGAATTTTAAATCTCTAAAATTTGTACAATTTACGATATTGCTAGGTATTATCAAAAATCACTTTCACTTGGAAACCTATCTAGAGAATAAATTTACAATATTAAAAGCTGGAATTCAAAATTTAGAATCATGCAAAAAATAAAATTCATGCCATGTAAGAGTCAATTATTGGACATTATAAAATTAGAAGTAAGTGATTTTAAAGTAATGACACAAATAAAACTCAACATGCTTGCTTTAGTTTTAATGTTGAGTAAATTAATTGAGAACATCACACCTTGAATGAGAAGTACTGGAATTCCATTCCTCAAATTCTATTTCATATTCTGCAAAAAGGTCACTTTATTTGTAGTGTCTTTGTCTATACATTTTATGCTCATTCTATATGAATTCTATATGCGATCACACTGAGAAAATTTTTGCCTTAACAGCAGCAACAAAGAGATCTTAGCTGTTGGTAATTTTTCAACAGCTGTATTTATATAAAGATGTCTTGGCCCTTCCTTGTAGCACAGTGGGCTAAAGGGCAGCACTGCAAGCTGGCAGCAGGGGCTTCAGTGCAAATTTGATCCCCGCTCCAAAAGTGACCCACATGGTGCGACAGTCCTTTCCTGTCTCTGCCTGCTGCTCCCAAATTCTGTATGCATAAATAAAAAATATAATGTGTTAGGAAATGTGGTTTAAAGGAGGAGCTGAATGGGCATACCCTGAATGGGAAATATTTGTCTTTATTCAACAGTGAGAATTGTAAATCCTAACACTACTATAGTAAGTCTTCTCAAATATCTTCAGTAGATGCTTGGGAACTGTGACTTTAAGCAAAGAAATCTATAACCGAAGCAGGTTTCTGAATAACCTACTTTTGATTGACATTAGCCAGGATTGTGTTTTTCTCATTAACTTTATCAGGAAGGACATTGAGCAAAATGATGTATTCAAAGACCTGCTATACTTGGAAATGTTAGTATGATTTTTTTTTAATCTAAGGTTTATGGTTTGACTTAAGTGGTTTATAACAATTCTTTTGAAGAGAATTCTAAAAAAATGAAATCTTGGAGTATTTGAAGTAAACTCAATTATCAGTCTGTGTACAGTTTTCAGCTACATGATTGAGAAAGTTGTTTTTAAAAAACATTAAACTAATTGGAAAGACAAGGAAACCACTCAAATACCCAAAAGTGGATGACTGGATTAAAAAGATGTGCTACATATGCACAATGGAATATTACTCAGCAACAAAAAAATAAATAAACACATGCCTTTTGCAGCAACATGGATGGAGCTGGAAAAGATCATGTTTAGTGAAATAATCCAGAAAGAAAAGAAAAAATGCTGGATGGTTTCACCCACAGCAGGAGTATAACAGACCAGGCGAGAAAATAATAGTAATAATGAACAGCTATATACCAGAGACATTTTACAGGGGTGAAGTGGGGAGTGGATCAAAAACAGTGGGGGGAAGGAAATGCACTGGACTCTGATGATGGCACATGGGTGATTTGGTGATGGGAAGCCCATGGGGATTACAACTGAGATGGAAAACTGCACAAAATAAAGTAAAAATAAACTATTATATTATTAAAAAGAAAAAGAACACTAAACTGTTATTTGTTCATTCAACTTCTGGGTACAATGCCAGACAAGCTTACCTCATTTGAATAATAAACTCAGTCTGTATCTTCCTGGTCTCCACTTTACATACTTTCTACTTTACCTAGAGTTGCTTTCCCCTTTTGCCTTCACTCATTCTCAGATGACCTTGTATCCTATTTCAAAGGACAACTTTTCAGATTAGATTTACGTATCGATTATCCTGTCTTCCTCCTATTAAACTGCTGCAAGTAGCTTTGTTGCCCCTAGTACCTGCACTGACCTCTGGTTCCCTTGCCTTCCCTCCCCATCTCATGAGATCCATTTCAGCCTGCTGTTTTCTCTGCTCCTTCTCATAATCATCCATATGCTATCATGACTCCATCTTTTTTGTATTTCATTTTCCTTCTACCACTTATTTCCTCTAGTAATATCTTGGTAATACCCATTCTTTTGCTTAGCCAAATTACTTGAAAGCTCTACTCCAAGTATATTAAATTTTCTTACAAATCATTTTCTTCAGGGGTTCTGTACAGATTCTGCTATGTCTTCATCAGAACTTTCTGTTGTGGTTATTGTTGGACTCTAGGTAGTCAGATCCAACACTTTTTAATGCTTTTCTAATGCCATATATCAGCTGAATTAGAAATGTTTACCACTTCAGCTATCATAAGATGTAATTTGATTACAGTTTCTTGGGTTTTGTGACATTGGCATCGTGGCAGGGATTTTATAATGGCAATTCAGTCTAATAAACAAAGCACTACTTCACATTACAGAGACTTCATGAATATTAAAATATTTTACAGATAAGAATGCATAAGCAAACTTCAGATAGTCTTGTTTTTGCCCAACTTGTCTGCTTAGTAAATTCTAAATTGTACTTAGAACCCATCTAAGTTGATTCCACAGGTTTTACCATTCATTAATCAATTTATTATGCCTCATTTTCCATCACTCATTTTCTTCTTTCCATATCTATAACAAAGTTCTATGTCCTTTACGCATGAGTCTCTGGGTTCTAACTATGTTGTCACCATTTCTTTTTTGTCTCACAACTAAATGTTAGAATGATCTTTTATCTGTCGTGAGATCTCATTTTTCTTCATTCTGTATTACTTTCCTATTTTGATAGGATGATAACCCCAAATATATGTCTCTTGGCTGCACTTATATGTTCAACTCTGCAGTTACAGATCTAGTTTAAACCATCTGTGGGGAACTCAGCCATATATGCTCAAGGTCAAAGTTGTGATGTTCCTCCCCAAATCTTCTCTCTCCTGCCAATACTAACTTACAGAAAGGCATACCTATTTAATTATTTTTTAAAAATGTTCAGAAAAATTTGAACATTGATGGGGTTCCTGTGACTGTATTCTTTATTTCACTTAATATTTTAATAACATTTCCTATGTTTTGTTGCACCAAATATATCCCAAATCTGTCCTTTGTTCTGTATGCTTCAGCCACCACCCTGTGTAACTCTTACCATTTTCTTAGCATACATAGACTCTAGAATATTCTCTTGCCAAGTATAAGCATGGTTCACAGGGAAAAGATATGTTCAAAAATACACCGTGAAGAAGTATGTTCAAAAATAAAATTTTCAAAAACCTTTATGACTTTTGACTAATTTTAAAATTAATACAAATACTGTATGCCCTAGCCATTATTCCATTGTATTCTAGCCATCCTTAGCTTAAATTTTCCACCACATCTTGAGTAAAATCTGCTCACCCTGAAATTTCCCAAATATTGTTTGGTTTTCCAAGTTTTGCACATATTATTTGCTTGCAGTGGAACACTACATACACTCATTTCCCACAGATCCGGACCCTATTACTAGCCCAGGAAAACAGGTGAATGGTAAGCAATGTCAAATTAAGAACTCCCTTCAGGACATGCAGAAACTTAAGAGCAAAAAAAACTGGTAAGTTTGTAAAAAGCTGTAATTTTGCTAGCTAGTAGCCAGATTGCTATAATTGAAAGCTTGTTTTTAGAATGACCAAAACAGCTAGACTATATTCACAAGTCTATGATGTATATGGCCCATAGAAAACATTATTTTAACACACTGTGTTAAAGATAATTATCTTTGGACATCAAAACAACCTCATTTGTCAGTTCATAACAATGAACAAGTGACACCTTAATGTTAAATCATTGTCCCTTAAAAATGACTCTACTTATCAACTTTACTAATTCTGAAAAAGAAAACACCAAAAAAAGCACTTACCATAGCACACAGGTTTACCGGACCAACCATTACCACCACACACTATGGAGCCGCTGGCATCTCCGTCTCTGCTTTCATAGCCCACGTCACATTCATACTGCACCTCGTCGTTGAGCTTAAACCAACTGCTATTACTTTTGGGTCTGGCATGCTCGAATACTGGCATATCACACGACTCTAAAGCATGACAGAATCGAATATTCCATTTCTAATATCATTTAATGGACAATCTAATGGAGTAAATACCACCCCAAGGGAAAACAGCATTATCAAAGAGTCTGCTATTACCAAAGAGTGTGCTAATTATATAAAATAAGCTATGTCAATGTTAAGTCCCTGTCCTGAAGCTTATTCACAGTGAAAAAATATGTTTTCCACACTTAAATTCTCTGAAAATTTTGTTTTAAGAACATTTTTTCAATTACATTTCTGCCATTCTGCTGAGAGAACAAAACAGACCATTGCAGATATATTATTCTTATTGTTAATAAACCAGAATAGCATTTTATGAGTCAAGATGTCAAACTTTGTAACAGTTGTGACTATCCCAGATAACAAAAGATTAATTGCAAAAAAGATTAATTTTCAATAATCTGAATAAAGTGTTAAACATTCTATAAAGCTGTTTACTTTGAAACATCTTAAGTTTAAGGAATAATGCTGATTTAATGTCTCAAATATTTTCCTATATCTTTGTATTCTTCTGTAATTATCAAGGTTGAGTATAGAGTTCTATTGTTCATAACTAGGTATAAGAAAATAAAATATTTAAATATAGTTTCAATGTTCACTACTGCTGTTCTACATACAGCAAATAAAAAATTAATTTCCCCAATTTTATAATTTCTAGTGTAAAGCTGTTAAAAATAAAGCAAAATGATACTAATAAGGTAATATGACAATAGAGATATTTCCTCTTTCATAATAACAGTGTTATAATAATCACAATTTAGTATGATATAAGTTTGAGGTAGGGGCAACTATATCCTTTATAGCTCTTTGACTGGGATCATAAAGCATAGAAATTGTCAAAAAATGGAAATGAAAGGAAAACAGTAAAATGTGTATCTTAAATATGCATTTAAGTGACTGTTAAATATCACTTTAAAAATGTCATTGACTTTAGGGTTAATAAAACTAAGCAAGTTGTTCTTAGAAAATCTTTATAAATGTCTAGATAGTGTGAAAGGAGAATCTTTAAACAACATATTTTGGTACTATCTAGAAATATTTCTCTGTCTCCATAACTACATGGCATTTATGAAAATTTTCTAGAGGATTTTCTAAAATGGCCCTGTCCTATAATATCTAACTTATACATTACACAAGTTACCGTATTCTAAGATCATGCATTGTGCACCCATATGTTCACATAAAAAAAAATGTACTCTTTATTTCTAAAAACCAAGAATTTTATATAAAAATGAGTACCTAGAAAAAAAAATGCAGTAAGCACAGAAATCTCAGGTAGAAATAATTGAGTGTACACTAGTATACACATAATTATCCATAAATAGTTTTTAAATCACAGGATATTTTAAATTACAAAAAAAAACTTGACATAACAAGGATAAATAGATGGGGCTCCATCAAGTTAAAGAGCTTCTGTACAGCAAAAAAGACATTACAAAAGACAGACATCCCACTGATTGGGAAAAATTTTCTCACACAAAATGAGTGGTAAAGGATTGATCACAAAGATATACAAAGAACTGATGAAACTCAACAAAAATAAACAACCCCATCAAAAAATGGGCAAAAGAGCTAAAAAGACACTTCTCCAAAGAGGAAATGCAGATGGTCAACAAGCATATGAAAAAAATGTTCATCACTTGTAATAAGGGAGATTAAAACCACAATGAGATACCACCTCACACCCCAGTGAAAATGGCACATTTTCAAACAACTAGCAACAACAAGTGTTGGCGAGGATGTGGAGAAAAAGAAACTCTCCTGCACTGCTGGTGGGAATGCAAACTAGTACAACCACTATGGAAAACTATTTGGAGGTTCCTCAAACTGCTAAACATGGAGCTTCCATATGACCCAGCAATCCCACTTCTAAGTATCTACCCAAAAGACACAAAAACACTGATTGAAAAAGATACCTGCACCCCATGTTTATTGTTGCTTAATTTACAATTGGAAAGACATGGAAACAGCCCAAATGCCCCAAAATGGATGACTGGATTAAGAAGATGTGGTACATATACACAATGGAATATTGCTCAGCAACCAAAAAAATAAATAATAAACACATGTCTTTTGTAACAACATGGATGGAGCTGGAGAAGAAATGCTTACTGAAATAAGCCAGAAAGAAAAGAAAAAATACTGGGTGGTTCCACTCATAGCAGGAGTATAACAGACCAGGCAAGAAAATAATAATAATGAACAGCTATATACCAGAGACATTTTATGGGGGTGGAGTGGGGAATGGGATCAGAAACAGTGTGGGGAGGGAAATGCACTGGATATGTGTGATAGCACATGGGTGATTTGGTAATGAGAAACCCACGGGGATTACAACTGAGATGAAAAAAATGCACAAAATGATGTGAAAATAAACATATTATTAAAAAAAAAAAAACTTGACCTAAAAAAATGGATTGGGGCCCTCTCTCGTGGTGCAACGGGTTAGGTTGCAACACTGCAAGCAAGCAGCAGCTGCTTCAGTGCAAGTTCGGTACCTGCCCCTGAGGTGAGCCACGTGGTGTGGCAGACCTCTCCTGATCTGCTTGCTGATCCCCTCAGCAGTGTACCCTGAAATTCTGCCTGTTCTTCTCTCCACTCTGTCTCTGCCTCTGCAATTCTGGCCTGTACCTCAGCTCTGTATAAATAAATAAATAAATCTTTTTAAAAAATGGATTGGTATTGGACTCTACTGTTAATCTTAAAAGGCAAAATTTTATATATTTTTTCAGTTACTTTTATATATCTTTTCATAGAGAACCATGCAAGCAACCTCACTCCAAATAATCAAGTTAAAACTAAGCTTTTATACAGTATCATTTAGGTGAGGAAAACTAGCCATTAATTACTTACTAATGCAGATAGGTTGAGCTGACCATCCACTTTGCATACATTTAATTGATCCTGACACTTTACCATCTTCAGTTAAGTATCCTGGTTTGCATCGATATTGTGCATCCTTATGTAAGGCATATGTTAATTCAGATTCAGAAATAAAACCATTTTCAATGTCTAAATCTGATTTTGAGCATGTTTCTAAAAGGGAGAAAGCATATGAAAAGGTAAGTATATGTTCAAAAAACATTTTCATAATGGCTCAAATAATATAACAACATAAAAATTAAGGAGTCATTCATGTTCAGGTTCTAGTGTTTTTTAAAAAATAAGTTGAATTACTGAGATACAAAGTCAAGATATATTAGTTATTCCTTTTTGGAACAAAGCAAATTTAAAATAGTCAGAATCATTGCAAAGGAACAAAGGCAAAGGAGAAAGATTATCAGACATCCAAAGGCAAAGTAATAACTCTAAACATACTCCTCATACATTTTTATGAAGATCGACACAAAATTGATCATATATACAAAAACAAAATATAACTTCTGGAAGAATGGATGGAATTGGTTTAGGCATAAATATCACCAAAAGCTTGGTTCCTCAGAGAAAATTTTAATTCAGTGAATGGTATCAATATTAAACATTTTTACTCTATGGAAAGATTAGTGAGAAAATGAAGAGTAAAGCTACATTGGAGGGAAATATTTGCCAACCATATGTCCAACAGAAAGACTTGTGGCCAAAATATTTAAATTAGTTTTAAAAATACAATAATGCAAAAAGAACTCAGTGAAAAAGTGGGGAGTATTTCCACAGTCTTAAAAAAATTATGTAACCAGAAAATAATGTTCAGCAGCATTAGTTACTGAGCAATGGAATACCACCACATACATATTAGCATATCAATTAAAAGTCAGAAGAAACTAATTATTACCCAGTCCTAGTAAAGCTAAGGAACAGTTGGAGTGATTAGACATTGCATATATGAATGAAAATGATCACCCAAGACTTGTAAAATTAACTATGTACTTAGCATCCATCCAGCAATTCCAGACCTGTATATTTACCCATGAAAAGTGAATCTTTGGGGGCCCTCCCTGGTGGCGCAGCAGGTTAAAGCACTGCACTAAGATGCTTAAGCCACTTCCACATGAATTCGATCCCCGCCTGCCCCGGAGGTGACCCACATGGTGCGGCAGACCTCTCCTGACCCGAACACTTCTCCCCTCAGCAGTGTACTTTGTCAATCTGCCTGTTCTTCTCCCCACTCTGTCCCTGGTGAATACTCTCACCCTCTGCGTCTCTGGCCTGCACCCCAGTTCTGTATGAATAAATAAATCTAAAAAAAAAAAAATAAAAGTGAATCTTTGGTATTCTCTGGTGGTCTAGGGTCACTGTCACCACTGTGGCCTGAGTTTGATCCCAGGGGCAGGGAACTAACCCACATAATGGAGCAGCTGAACTCTCCTGTCTTGCCCATTGCTCCCCTCAGTAGTGTAGTTCAGTAAATCTACTCATCCTATGCCCCCACTCTGTCTCTAGTGAATCCTCCTACCGCCGGCACCTCTGGTCTACACACCAGTTCTTCTACACAAAAGTAAGTTTAAAAACAATCTTAAAAGAAAAAGAAAAATGAATTTGTGTTCATAGAAAAACCTTTATATGAACATTTTTAGCAGAAACATTCATAAACGCCCCCAGTTGGAAACATCCCACATGTTTTCACTGAATGAATGTACGAACGAAAATGGTATACAATACACAATACAATGGGATAAAACCCAACAATAAAAATAATTACTATTGGTATATGCAACAACATGAATTACACTGATTCAAAACTAGACTAACAAGAAAACGTGGTGTGTACTTCCATATATATGACACTCTGGAGAAAGCACAGCTATAAGTATAAAGAACAATTTAGAGATTTCTAGTGGTTAGGGGTAGAGAATGGTTTAGCTACAAAAGGCAGTATGAAGAAAATTTGCAGTGAGAGAACTGGTAATTATGTTGTTTTTGGCAAAAGTTAGGTGGTGAGTATATCGGTCAAATGTAGAATTGTGCAACAACAAAAAAAGTAAAATTGCAGATAATTTTTTTTTTAATTTAAAATATATGCGTAGGGCCCTTCCTGCTGGCACAAAGGGTTAAAGCACAGCACTGTGAAGCTGCCATTGCATCTTGAGTTTGATCCCCAGCTAGGGAGGTGACCCTCGTGGTGTGGCAGACCTCTCCTGACCCACATGCTGCTCCCTTCAGCAGTGTATTTCAGTACGTCTGCCTGTTCTGCTCCCCACTCTGTCTCTGGTGGATTCTCTCACCCCCCTCACCTCTAGCCTGTACCCCAGTTCTGTATACATAAATAAATCTCTTAAATGAATGAATGTTTTAAAATAATATTAAAAATAATAAATCATACCCTCCATCACTTGGGATCAAATGTAAAACTATTGTGTTTTTCTGAGATGCCTTATTTCCTTCACACTTCATGTTTTTTAAAGTTTTTAATTACTCTCCTTGCCTTTGAAATAGTTCCTCTAGTCTCTATGATGAACATTAGCAGAGAAATATTTCTGTGAAAACTTTTAAAGGCTCTGCGACTTTTCCTGGGACCTTGTTTACAGATATACCTGCTTATAGTGTATTGTCATCACTAGCAAGGAAATTCTTAAATTGCCTGCTTTTTCTCTTTTGCACTCAGTCTGGCACCTGACAATTCCCTCTTGGCTTATCCTGAAACAGTGCTGAATGCTGAAGTCTGTGTTTTATCCCCATTCCTGAATAATAAGTCAGCTTTCTCGTGCTCACTAGCCATCTGTGAAGATGCACGTTTTGGCATGTGTAGAGCAGCTGCCCATGCTGTGGGGTGGGTTTGCTAGTGAAGTGTGCAGAGACCTGCAGTCCCTGTGAGTGAGCAGGCTCTGTAGTACACTTACGCCAGGGCCAGTGGAAAGGCGTCCTAATGGAGGCTCCAGAGGTGGGTGGGAACTCTGTCCCTGGATGAATTCTGACCTCTGGATGCCCTCTTCAAGTTTCCCACCCTCTGTGTTACTGCTGATTCCTCTATTGTGGGCTAGTGTGGATGTGATAGGAAAGAAAGGGGACTTTTTCTAAGTGTCAAGTGTAGTTCAGGACATTGGACATGCACTTTTTTTTTTCCTTTTGCCCACTGGAGAAATCATGGACTGAGTGTATCTCTCGGCACTGAGTTAAGTGAAGCTGTTATTGTCATCCACTCCAGTGCATCCAATCTGGAACCAGTTGTTTCAACAATGTGCTAAAAATGTTAGATTTCCAGATTCCCACAAAGATACTCTTCTTCACAGGTAACTGTCAAAAACAGTGCCTTTTGTAGAGAAGATGGTGGAAACTCTTATATACCCTTCTTGCTGATAGCACTCTCTTATTACAAATTTTGTCTGTGGATCTTCTACTGTTTTCTTGACTCAATGTCTTTCAATAGCACATTAATTTTGATGTGTCCTTATCAAGAGATTGCTATATCCATGCATACACACTTGAAAAAAAGTAAAACCAGATAGATCCATTGGCAAAACAGGAAGCTGATATAAACTTTTTGCTGCAGTTAAGATATACAAGTTTTGGAAAATCATCAACATACTGGGTTCCTAGGTAAGTTCCTGTACTTACTGACTCGGATGCATTTGGGAGGAGGGGACCAGTCATTTTCTGTACATGTCATTGTACTCTGCCCATCCTCAAGACTGTAGCCAGCATGGCATTTAACATGAACAGATTCACCCTGTAAATACCATGCATTTCCAGAACTGTATCCATTATCCAAATTAAAGAGAGCACATTTTCCTAAGGATCACAAAAACGATAAATGAAAATGAAGAAACCTATGTTTGTTTAAAGAATAAAACTAAAAATGTCTTTACAGTGCTTAATTAACAATATGGTAACATAAAAAAAAAACCACTAGTGCTTTTTTTTTCTTTTGCTAAATGTTTGTTTAAAAATATTAAATCAATTTCTGAAGTTATTTATCTTTTTTAATTACTAAAATGTAAATTATGTAGAGTTATATAAAATCCCTAGTTTATTTCTCATATAATTTTCATGAATAATTCCTCCAATAACGAACTGTTTTGAATTATTTTGGTTTTTTGGCTCACAACATTCAACTCAGCCTTATTTTGTCAGATAAGACTTAATTGTACTCCTTTTTCTGTCTCCATCTTTTGAAAGATTTATAAACGCACAATTTTAAAGATGTTTACTTACTGAGACATGGCAGTGCTGGATCCCATCCTGTTGTTGTGCAAGTAATTCTACCCCATGTCACTCGTGAAGGGGTCGAAAACATGGAATCACAGGAATAGTAAAAATACTGTCCTATTTGTATTGGAGTGTATTGCACTTCATATTGTAGCCTTCCATGTTTAAGCTCTGGAAAATCACAAGGCTTCACTTGCAATAGGAAAAAAATATATATATAAATCATGTTTAATCCAATTAAAAAATTAGAAATTGTTTTCTCGATTAATTTTCTTATCTGCATAATTATACTAATTGCATTGGGAGTCTCGGACAAAAAAAAATGTTAAAAATGATTGCAGTGAATGAGGAAGCCCTTGCTGATAATGATAACATTATGCATGCATGTCTTATGATGTATAAATTTACATTAAAGTCTCCAGGAAGAAATCTGTACAGAACTTTTTAATGCAAACTCCTGGAGAGCATAAATACTAGTGTTGGTTAATTAAACAAGCTTCTTGGTGTAAATGACAGTACTGATTTTATCACTCATTATATTTATCTACTTACTTAATTTATTGTTAATTGAAGTAATTTTTGAATACCCCTACTGGTATTGCCACTATAGTACTCTCACCACTAAATCACTAAAATAGTCCATTGGGCTCCCTTCTCTCTATCTTTACCTCTCCTCAACCCTTCCCCACACCTCCTCCAACCTTATCCCTTAAATAAACAGCTTTCAAGGGTTAGTTTTTAAGTTTGTCTTTACCTGACCCTTAATTAAGTTACTATGTATTACAGACATTAGTGATACAATCACATATTTATCTTTCTTTTATTGACTTATTTCACTTAGCATTTCCATCCATATTAGTGAAAATGGTATCAGTTTATCTGTTGTAATTACTAAGTAACAGTGCACTGTGTGTGCATATATATATATATGTGTGTATATATATATACGCATGTATAATATGTGTATATGTATGTATGTATGTATTTATATATTATATACCATATCTTCTTGATTCATTCACCTGTTTTTTTTGGGCACTTTGGTTGTTTCCACAATTTGGCTATTAGTAAATAGTGCTGCAATAAACACAAGTGTCAATTTCCTTTTGAATCAGTGCTTTTTAATTTTTTCAGTAGATGCCTGGAAGTGGAATTACTGGGTCATATAACAGTTCCATTTTTAATGTTTTGCAATACCACCACATTGCTTTCCATAAGGGCTGGATTGATCTGCATTCCCACCAGCAGTGTAAGAGAAAAGAGTTCCCTTTTCTCCACATTTTTATCAGCACTTGTTTCTGCTATTTTCAACATGGGTCCTACTCACAGGTGCAAGATGATATCTCACTGTGGTCTTGAATTGCACAGAGAACCATCAAGATACCACAGAAAAAAAATTAACCACAACAACTAGATTAACAGTAGCAGGATATAAAAGCAACACACAAAAATCAGTTGCCCTCCTGTATATAAGCAATGAGATAGAGAAGTTAAGAAAGTAACCCTATTTACAATACACCAAAAAAAAAAAATTAAATACCAAGGAGTAAACCTAACAAAGGAGATAAAAGATTTATACAAAGAAAACTATTACACATTGTTAAAAGAAATAAAAATCACAAAATAAATGGGAAAATATTCATTGTTCATAGATTTGAAGACTCAACAGTGTCAAAATGGTCATCCTAACCAAAGCAATATACAGATCCAGTACAATCCCAATAAAAAAATCAATGGCATTTTTCAAATAACTGGAAGAAACACTATTGAAATTCATATGGAATCCCAAAGACCCTGAATAACAGAAACAATTCTGACAAAAAAGACAGAATGAAAGTATCATATTTCCAGAGTTCAGATTACATCATAAGAGCATAATTATTAAAACAGTCTAGTTCTAAAACAAAAACAGATACACAGACCAATTGAGCGGAGGTTCCTGAAATAAACACATACCTACATGAACAGTTAATTTGTGATGAAGGAGCCAAGAACATTTACTCATTTCATTTTCATTTCTATCAGATTCAGAGCCCTGTCTTTTTTCCCCAAGTCAAGTCAGTGTAGGGAAATAATGAGGTTTTTTTCCATCAATGCTCATTATTTTTTTATCAGAACTATTTTAAAATACAGAAAAGTGTATTTTCCATTAATCACATCATAGAGAAAAATGTTATTATTCATGCTTCAAACTAGCTATTGAGGGAAGTTTTGCAGTATTTACCAGAGAAATAGACTAGAATTATTTCCTCTTATACCAGAGAAATAGACTAGAATTATTTCCTCTTATTTTCATAGGACTTGATTAAATATTTATAAATTTAATTGGAGATTATTTTTAATGTCATAAATATTTGTAATGAGTTATAATGAATGCTTGTCATATATGTAATATGTATTGTGTATCTTATGTTATATATTAAGTGATGTGCTGTTTGAACAACTTTACATATATTATTTTTCAGAAATATTTGTCCTTTCATGGTGTTTGATTATAGTCCATTAATTTTGATATCATTATCGTGTTAATTTTCTATGAAAGGTGATATTATACAAAACTTAATACAACACATTAAAAATGTTTACACACACAGAAAGAGCACTTCATTCCTTAAGTTCACTTTTCCATTTCTTTTTTGTTTGAATCAAGAAAATTTTCAGGTAGTTTTACGTCTTTTCATGTGGATTATAAACTTTTAATCATTGCCTATACTGAAGCCTTTCTTTAACAAGATTTATATATGATACCTTTTTTTTTTAAAGATTTATTTATTTATGCATAAAGAACTGGGGTACAGGCCAAAGGTGAAGGGGAGGTGAGAGGCTTCACCAGAGACAAAGTGGTAAACAGAACAGGCAGATCAACGAAGTACACTGCTGAGGGGAGCAGTAGGCTGGTCAGGAGAGGTCTGCTGCACCATGTGGATCACCTCCGGGGCAGGAGAATGAACTCATGCTGAAGTAGCTTTAGCTTCTTAGTGCTGTGCTTTAACCCGCTGCGCCTATGGGTTATAGGGAGGGCCTATAGGGAGGGCCTATGATCCTTTTTTTTTTTTTAGATATAGATTCTTGGCCAATGGTCCATAACTCTTATTCTTGACAGAGACTTTACCTCTTTTGAAACTTCAAGTGTTGAGATTAAAATGATCATTTAGTTTCATTCCTCTTGAGTAACAATCTAATTTTTTTTTAAAGATTTATTTATTTATGCATACAGAACTGGGGTACAGGCCAGAGGTGCAGGGGCGGCGAGAGGCTTCACCAGAGACAGAGTGGGGAGCAGAACAGGCAGATTGAGGAAGTACACTGCTGAGGGGAGCAGCGGGCGGGTCAGGAGAGGTCTGCCATGCCATGTGGTCTCCTCCGGGGCAGGCGGGAATCGAACTCATGCGGAAGCGACTTTAGATTCTCAGTGCTGTGCTTTAACCCGCTGCGCCACCAGGGAGGGCCCAACAATCTAATTTTTTATTTACCTCACTTTTTAAAAAATTTGTATTAGTTTTTCTTCATCCTCAATTCTACCAACATTTATCTTATTCAAATTTAAATCTTTGGAGTTTCAGAAACTGATTCTTAAAAAACTTAAATTTCCATAAAACTGTGAAGGAGGAATTTGAACCCTGGGAGTCTGATTTCAGAACAAGTATGGTTAGCCACTTCCAGTAGTGACTCATAAGATATGAATAAAATAAAGTAGACCACTGAGATTTCTTTATAAAAGGTGCACAAAGGGGCGGTCATTTAAAGTATTATTATTGCAAAATGAATCATTGCTATCTTTCTCTTTCTTTGGTACATTCAAATCTTTTTCCTTCTAGTGAGATCAGCCTTGAGCCAAATACAGCATTTCATATGGTGTTGGAATAACACTGAGCTCAGCAAATTTAAAACAACCTCATTCCACCTCTTAACATTGTGGTCTCCTTAAGCAGTATGGGGCTCCAATGTATTGACTCAATTTGATCACAAAATTGACTAAAATATTTACTAGGTTTTAAAGCTATTTCTAGTACTTGGGTAGTTGATTCTTCAAATGCAAGTCCAGGATCTATGGTTATCACTGCTAAATGTCATATTGCTAGATTCAGCCTTAAACTCAGTATTCTATTCATATAATGAATCTGTCCTACTAAAGATTCACTATCATTGCCTCCTGTATCACTTAATTTGTATGGCATTTCCTCTAATCTCTGAAACTATTTGGTGACACAAATAAATAACAGAGTTGGTCTGAGAACATCATCCTGCATCTGATAACCAGATCAATTTACCTAATTTTTTTTTACAAACTATCTGATAATCTAACTAGTCAGTTTCCAAACTAATCTGAAAAAAATGTTAAAAGCTCCTTGTGAAATAATTTGGCTAAGATGGAGATAAGTTGAGCCAGTTTCTTTTTGAGGGACTGTGGTTTGAGGGACTAACCCTGGAATTAACTCTGAGGTCATTAACCCATTATTAGTAGCAACACATTTTCCTTCATAGAATATTCACTTTAATTGTGGTGCATCTTCACAATGAATTGTGAAATATAAAGAGGAGTATGATTGCAGAGATGGAAAATACTTGAAAAAAGACAAAGGAAGCATACCCCCAAAATGAAATATTTTGTCAAATTATGTGACATTTTGCTGAAAATGATAGTTTTAGGAAATTCCACAACCTTTTCAACACTTATTCTTCCCAAACATGGAGCTTAATTCTCCTACTCTAGTGTGTGCTGGACTTAGTGATTCACTTTTAAGGAACAAGTATGCCTAGGGCCTCCTGGTGTCAAAAGGCTTAATTCTTAGTGGTATCAGGCTATTGCCAGCCATTGTGGCATGAGACCATCCCTGGCCAGGGAGGTGGCCCACATGGTACAGCAGACCTCTCTTGTCTCACTGGCTGCTCCCCTCAGCAGTATATTTCAGTCCATCTGCCTGTTCTGCTCCCCACTCTGTCTCTGGTGAATCCTCTCACCTCTTGCTCTCTGGCCTGCACCCCAGTTCTTGCATGCATAATTAAATAAAAATAAATCTATAAATCTTTGGGGAAAAAAAACAACAATATGATTGAACCAACAATGTGGTCTGGAGGCTTCCTACTCTCTCAGATCACTAGTTCCAGTGAAAGTCAGTTGCCCTTTAAAAATCCTGTGGAGAGTCCATGTGGGGAAGTACTGAAGATTCTGGCTAAGTCTTGAAAATGAGCCCTCTTGGAAGCAGCTCCTCAGTCCAGCAGCCCTCAGCTAAATGCAGTGAGTAAACACCCTCACTGCAACACAAGAGACTGATGAGCTAGCCTGCTCAGCCACTCCGGAATTCCTGACCTTTAGAAGCTCTGGGATGATAATGGCTTGTACTTTTAAATCAAGATGGTTTGGGAAAAGTTTGTTTTATAGCAATAAGTAACCAGTGTCAAGATAGTAGTTAGTACTGCTATTATCTAGTATTTTAGCTCACTTATTAGAATTAGTTACAGAAATATGTATTCACAGACATATAGTAACATTGAATAGCAAACAGGAAAAAGATTCACATTTATAAAATGTTTTTGATCCTACTTAGAATTAGCTACTTGGAAAGTCAAAGAAGCTTCTTGTTATATACACAATATGACAAATATTTTGGTTAATTGTATTCACTTTTTTAAAAAAGTCAAATAAAGCAATCCATGAATGTAACTTACAGCTACATCTTGGAGCAGGTACCCAGCCTGTGAGAGTACATTTTACTGTAGTTCCCCGGGTTACAGGATAAAAGCCATTTTTACATTCATATGTGATTTCATCTTCAGTTCTGTACTTGGTCCTTACAGGTTTATAAACACCATTTGGAATGTAAGGATTATTACATGTTACTTCTGAAAAAAAAAAATGAATGGGCAATGTAGGAATGAATATCTATTAAAGTAATCAAGTACATGAAAACAAAGAAAGTAAATATTATTTTTCTTTCACAGCACAAAATGGGAATAAAATTACCACAACATCATATTCTTACCGTATCAGTCATATCCCCCCATATCTCTCATCTGATGTATTTATGTCCCCTGGACTCTATTTCTCCAAAGTTATCACCTACTTCATGATATTCCATATGTATATTACTTTAATGTTCTTTCCACTTTAAATGCCTTGGCTTCTGAAGTTCTCATTAGACTTTTATAAATATTCTGAATCTTTACCTTCCAGCTTTCGGTAGACTGCCTATCCCTGGCCAATTGAAGTGGGCACGGCCATAGGACTTGCATGGCCCGGTGAACTGCATATAAAGGCCACATTTCCCTTTAAGGAGGAGGCTTTAAAAGAACTTATGTAGACTATGTTCTCTTCGCCACAGTGGTAGTAGTGATTTAGGAAGGCCATGGAATGATGATGTCTTTATCCTCTGTTTTTACGATAAATAAATGAGCAGAGTCCCTTCTGAATTACATTGTGAGTGAGCATGAATAGAAAATAAACTTTCGTTTATTAGGCTTCTCAGATATTGGAACCTGTTTTCAAGCCTAGTCCAGGCTTGAAAAGTCTCTTTAGTAGGGGATCAGGTAATAAGTTTCTGCAGCAACTACCCCTCTCTGCTGTTTTAGCAGAGAAGTGGTTTGATACAATACATAACAGTGGTCATGACTGAGTCTAACAAAACCTTTTTTAACAAGAAGGAAAAACTTGATTTGGCTTGTGATCTACAGGGAACTGTCCCTTGACCTAGTATATTGTAAGTCACAAAGTTGTATCCTTTCCATCAACCTTGCTTTATCTCAGTAATAGAACAATTTACAATATTTGTAAACAAGACATCATATTTCATAACTATTGTAAAAGTGTTCTGTAATCGTTTATATTAGTGTTAAGTTAGAGTTTGGATTAAAAACCTATGTGGACATTCACTGTTTTCTGGAACACACTCTATGCCCCCAATTTACTAGTGTTTTGCAATATAAGTGACTCACCCAAAGTCTCCTCATGTAGTGCTGTCATTCCTTCATCAACAGGTAAGTGTTTGCATAGACAAAAAACAACTGAGACTATGAGATGTGAGTTCCCTCAGCTTTTTTCCTTCAACTAACTCTCTCCCTTCAACACTCTTTCAACTTTAGCCATATCTCCTCTGGATTCAAGCAACTCCCTCAGTCTTCACTGGTAAGGTGGATCCCCCTCACCCCCGCCCCATATTTAAACTAGCTTTTCAAACTTTTCATTTATTCCTTTTATCTTTCATTTTGTCTTCACTCTGTCTTAAATGGATATGCAAACTTCTTAATTTTCAACTCCTCTCAACCCTTTCCAGTGTTAGCTAATGTAGTACATTTCTCCTCTCCTCCATAACCAAGATTCTTAAAGTACCATTTTACAATTGCTAGCTTCTAAGATCTTATCCCCTGTCTTCCTGCTTATTACCCTATTACCCAATAGCCTTTGTCTGATCTTCACACATGCCATGCTTATTCCAAATGTGGATTTTTGTTTCCTCTAGAATTTCCTATTGGCACCACTTCAGAGACATTTTCCCTGAAGACCCTACAGATAGTTTGTGAATGAAAAATCCATGCTTTCCAGATGGTTCCACATGAGGATTTGTCTTATTGTTTTCCTTCTCACATTCTCTGTATGACTCAAGACACTTCTATGATTAAAAAGCTGTCACGTATGCTAATAACATCTTTAGTGGATCCCAATATACATATCCAGTTGCAGCTTCACACTGGATCCCATGTATATAATGCTAAGGCATGTCCAACCTATTTTGTGTCAAACTAAGTTGTCACCCTTCTTTACACAGAAAGAGGTAATGGCAAAGAATAGTGTAACCTCTTTCTCTACTCAGGTACCACAGAAGTCACAAAGACAAATAGCCAGACACTACACACCACTAGCCTAATACTGATCTAATATTGTTTTATGTTTATTAACCTCATTCTAAAAATAGTTTTTAATAATGCCTAAAAGAGCATTATTAATAATTCAGTTGTTTAAGAGGATATATTTTTTGAGCTGTTTGTAGACACTAGAAATATATTTTTTAAAGAATAGAATCAACACAAAAGCTAACTTTTGTTTTTGTAAAAGGAAGATCACTAAAACAAGACTTATCCATAGAATGATGAATAATATAATTTAAAAGTTCAGAGGGCTCTTGAGAAGTCAGCTCTTCTTTCCCCCACAGGCTATAAAAGTCAGCCTTCTAGAAGGTCACTTGCCCTCTAATTTCCTGTATGATGATATCATTATTTGTTTCACTCAGTACAATAGCCCACCTCAAAAGCTAACTCACTTTTGTATATGTTTGTAAATATCTCAATATTACCATGTTCAAGCTGTGTCTTCTTTTTTATGATATGATTTCTTATGATTCTTATGATATGACTTAAACTTCTCAAATGTACATGTTCTCTGTTCTAGGCCACTTAAGTTTGAATTTACTCCTTCTAAAATGGGGTAGGCTAAGTAGAACACAATATTCCAGACAATTTTTGTAGAGCAATGAACACAATTCAGATGAATTTTTTGATTCTGTAGAATACCCTTCCCTAATGCAACCTAAAAAAAAAAGTAATGGTTTGGTATTTTAGTGTCATGATCACCACTGATTCATATTAGTGAAATATTTTTCTTTTAACTTTCCATTTAACTCCCTTGTCAACTGAAGGTTTCCTCTTCTGGAGTTAATATAATCTCTTTAAAGATAAATGTTGGGTTTTGGAAGAGCAATTTAATTGTTTGAGAAATGTATATACACTTCTCAGTGATTAAGAAAGCCTGCTATATTTCCAGTTCTGTCACACACTTGTTTTTTGACTATAAACTAACTGACTTAATAAAAGTTTCTGGTCTTCTTTTTTAATGCCTATCTTCAGAGAAAGAGAGAAAGAGTGGGCATCATACCCATTGATCTCAAAAATGGACCTTCCATAAATGCAATTTTAAGATATATTATGTTTCTAATACTTGATTACTTATAAACATTAATATTCAATTGTGAAAAAATAAACTGATTAGCTAAAAGAATTATGTGGATTAAAGTTAAGGTATATAACAAAGGAAATAGAAAGATATACAGTGTTACCTTTACATGAGGGCACCGGAACCCATCCAAATCCAGTGCATACAGCATCTGCTTTTTCACTGTATTCAAAACCCCTGTTACATTTATAGTGAAGTCGTTCATTTTCCTTATAAGTTTTCTTCTGAGAAATAGAATATCCATTTGCAATATCTGGCACCTCACAGGTAAGTTCTAAACAATGAGATTAAATTCCAATATGTTTGTTAAAATTTAAAGGGCTGTGTCCTATATAGTTAAATATAAGGCACAGATTTTGTTTCCTTTAGGCAGGTCAGGCAACCAATCAAAAATTCTGGCCTGTACCCTAGTTCTTGTATGCATAAATAAATCTTAAAAAAAGAATATGTTCATTTCATTTCTGAAGGAAGTTAAACTGTTGATTAAAATTATGTTTTATTTTATCTGGCTTGAGATAATTTTTTCCCTTAAAATAAATAGTGGCCAGTAACATTCATCAGCTGCCTATATAAAACTCAAATAAATAACAAGCTTAGTGTGATGACTTTATCACTAAATGGCCTGTAAAAAATCAAGTAGCTTCCACTTATCGATGACAGAGTAATTCTTGACAAAACACGTAAGTCAAAAAATTTAACTTGCCACATTGCCATTGCATGTCAGGGAAGCAACTGACCTGCTTTTGTGGGCTTACTACCCATCCAAGTTTTCTGTGAAAACTTGGCCATCATCTCTGACACTATTCTCTCTCAGATATTTTACCCAAAGATCATCAAAGCAATAACCAATTATTGTTATAATATAAATATAGAGAATTCTATTTTATAGTTATAATTCTTTATGTTGTAATATATAATATAAAATTAATGTTATAATTACCTAGGTCCTACTTTCCCTCTTTTCTAATCTGTTTTCCTATTTGTTTTTAAATATTAATTTATTTTATGCATACAGAACTGGGGTACAGGCCCGAGGTGCAGGGGCAGCAAGAGGATTCACAGAGATGGAGTGGGGAGCAGAACAGGCAGATTGACTGAAGTACACTGCTGAGGGGAGCAGCGGGTGAGATAGGAGAGGTCTGCCACACCATGTGGGTCACCTCTGAGGGGGCAGGGATCCAATTGGCACTGAAGCTGCTCTAACTATATTGCTGTGCTGCACTTTAACCCGTTGAGCCCCCAGGGCTCTATTTGTAATGAGTGACATTTTCCTTGTCACTTCATTGCTCCATTTAAAAACCTTGATTCCTGTATCAGTCTGAATAAGAACCAATTTCTGGTGTATATAGCACCTCAGACTCCCATAATGTCCTGTCTGCAATCCTTCCCAAACTAATCCCCTTCTTGTATTTTGTAGGCAGCCCCTGAGAACAATGGAAATAGGGCTGCTTCCCACTCAATGAAACCTCCCTGAGTTTGCACCTTCCTTTCTGAGCTTCTCTAGTTTACATGCTGTTTCCTCTCTCAACATCTTCTAAAAAATTCTGATTTTTCCTGTATAGCTCATCTTATGTGTCAGTCATTTCCCAAAAAGACTTTCGCTAACCACAAAAGTGTAGTTACATGAAGTATATCCCTTCCAACAACGTCCAGCATGCATAACATTTGATATAATCTATATCTATGTGTGTGTGTGTCATTATTCACTCAAATGATTTTGTTAGAAAGTTCTTAAGAGGAATGTTTTCTGTACCTCATTATAGGAACGATTAGGCTAAGTGTAAATAATATGGAGATTTTAGAAAAGTTAAAATTTTTTTTTTCAAGTTTTGCCAAAACAAGCAATAGCAAACAAAGTATGGTGCATTTAAATAAACTGAACATAATGCTTCATTATAAAAGCCAGTATCATCAGATTTGTCGTGATGCACAGTATTATAACTGAAAAAAAAAATTTGACTTACAGATCAATATGCTATAACTTACTGATAAAAGTCAAAGATTGGTGTAGTGAATTCAGTTCAATTCATACGAAACTCACAGTGCAAATGTAAAAATCACTTCCCATCTGTGTTATTTAAAATCAGAAAGTCATATGACACATAAGTCAGATGAATAATAAAGTTTTCTCCTTTCAGCTTACAAAGAAAAGAGGCCAATAAATAAAACATTGAAAAATGCTTCAAGCACTTTTATAAAACTTATAGGACCCTCCCTGGTGGCGCAGCGGGTTAAAGCACAGCACTAAGAGGCTTAAGTCACTTCCGCATGAGCACTAAGAGGCTTAAGCCACTTCCGCATGAGTTCGATCCCTGCCTGCCCCAGAGGTGACCCACATGGCTCAGCAGACCTCTCCTGACCCACCCGCTGCTCCCCTCAGCAGTGTACTTCATAGATCTGCCTGTTCTGTTCCCCACTCTGTCTCTGGTGAATCCTCTCACCTTCCGCATCTCTGGCATGTACCCTAGTTCTGTATGAGTAAATAGATAAATCTTAAAAAAAAAAAAAAAAAAAAAAAAAAACAGGAAAAAATTTAAATAGCTGAGTAGCTTGGTTATGGTTAAGAACATGAATGTTCATATCAGATAACCTACAGTTCATACTTCTACCATTTATGTCATCATGACCTTGGACATGTGATTTACCTTCTCTGCAGCACAATTTCTTCAACTATAAATTTGAGGGGAAAAGAGTAAGTGAATCATATAGTCATTTTGAAGCTAAAGTGAGTACACACATAGAATATTTAGATCAAATGTTGGGAAATAGTATGTGCTTAATAAATGTAAGTTATTAATGTTATTCATATTCTTTCAAATGCACAGTGTTTTTGAAATGCCTGTTTTCATGTTAAAGACTAAAATCCTTTGAACAATCAAAAGAACAGAAAATTTATCTTACCCACACACTTTGGGATTCTTTCACTCCAGGTACCATTTGCAGAACAATGTATTTCTTTAGGTGCATCAAGCTTGAAGCCTTTATTGCACTCAAACCTAACCACTTGTCCAAAGATGTAGTCTTCGTCTGATTTCAAAGTGTCGCTGATAATTTTCCCATTCTCTGGTTCTTTCACTGGTAAACACTTAACAACTGAACAAATAAAGAAACAGAGTTCTAATAGAATCTGAAAACTCTATCATGTTAAATAAGCACACATCCATGTATGTATGAAATAATCAACAAGATTGGTGGAAACTGCTTAGATTATTTTTTAAAGAACTATCTGATGTCACTTTTTGTCAGAGATAAATGTCGCTAAGTAAAAAATGATTAAGTTCAACTAATTCTTTTCTATGGGAGTAGACAAAAAAATTACTACTTTGAATAACAGTTTATATTGTTATAGTATTAATGTTAAATAATCGAGCAATAGAAAGCCTTGGATAATTAACTTTCCATTTAAGTTTCAGAATAATGTAACACTATATTTCTAAAAGCTGTAAAGCAAATTTTCTGATCATATGTATTTCAACTGAGAAATGGTCGTTAATTGTGCTTTCTTTTCCATATGAGTGCTCAAAAATAATTTGAGTTTTTCTTTTAATTTGGCTTACTATTTCCCAGTATCTCCTAAACTGTGGGATGATACAAGATGCTCATTAAAATGAAAATTCTGTGGCCATCTCTCTGCTCTGTCACCCCAGATATGTTGATTCAATAGGTCTTTAAACCAAAAATTACACTTTTTAACTCTGGTGATTCCAGTGTAGATGTTCCTAAAACATTTGTCTCCTCCCCTTGTTGCATCAGGATTTTTGAGATGACATTTCTTCTTCCCATTTCCCTACCCACCTTTCTCCCTGTTTCTCTTCATACATGACCCTTCACCTCTCCTTCTTCTGGTCTTCTTTATCTTCTTTTATTCCTTTCTCTCCCTCCTTTTTCTTTACCTCTATGTACTCCTTACTGGAACTTGGAAAGATTATTCAGATAGACCTTTTCATTTCCATGATAACTAGAGACTGGGGTTACATGTTTAATATTTGGAAATAGGATTGGCTTTTGTTCATTCTCACTGTTTGCTTTATGGATTGGTAACAAAGAGCAAAGCTCTCTCCTAGTTCCTGTCTGTTTTTGATAAGACGACCACTAAAAACCTCTCTTTGCAAGCAAGCAGGGTTGCATGTCTAAAGCATGTTTTCCATTTCAACTGTTACCAAGATTCCTACATTTGCATGGTTATTGGCTGAGTGCCTCTTCATAATAATGCTAAAATTCAGACCTTAATTTAAATAATGATACTTGTGGTATATTTAATTTGAATTCAGAAGAAATGAAAATAAATGCAAAATTTCATATCTTTTAATATTTTGAATATTAGGTCAGATAATACTACATTTATATTTCACTATTCAAACCAAATCAATATAGTAATAATAATTTATATTTTCACTCTATACTACATTAGAAACCACAAATAATTTGAGTGAGAAATATTTAATTATAGACTTTAAGGGAATTTTAATGTCAGATATTACAGAAAATGTAGCTATTTTAAGCATTTTAATATACTTGTTAATCAGTTTTACATCTACCTTCACAGAGAGGAATATCATTGGTCCATCCATCTGTTTCACATTCACGGAAATCAATCGCCCCTAACATCTGATACCTGAAAATAAAAAAATAACAGAGTGGTGAGTTAATGAGTGTTTACATATAGCTTTAAATTCAAAATCATTCTGAATGTACAAAATCCCCATTTCAGGGAAAATTAACAGGGTGTGCATTTTCTTTTGTATCAGCTGTTCTTTTTTTGCCTTATTTTTCTTTCTTAAGCTCTTTTTCTCTTAGGCCTTCAAGTCCTCAGGTCCATAGACTTAAATAATCACAGTTCTTGATTCAGAACACAAATTTCACACACAATCCATTTCTATTTTGTCCTTGAGTCAGCTGTACTTAACAATCTAAAATGTAATATCAAAAGCAAAAGCTAAAAACATGATAGTAGCAAACAGCTAATCATATGTTACTTTTGTCCAGTACATTTCCCCCAATTCCTAGTTTCATGAGTGTAAGATCCTGAACACTTTGGGCTTTTAACATCATCAACAACAGTGCTGACCCAAGTTGCTTGGTGTGTGTTTTATTTTCAATTCTTGTCTTCACCTCCTACCTCCATTCTAGTGATTCTTTCTAGAATATGGTCAAACAGTCATGTTTGCTTTTGTAACCCATTCAAAATGGAATTTACTTAAATGTAGGAGTATATGGGACAAGAGTTTGTCCATAAATATGTTGGTAATTGGGAAAAATAATGGCCATTGTCACAGCCAGGCAAAAATATCAGAAAAAAATCTTGCAGAATTCTTCCTTAAAACTACCTGCCTGTGGGCCCTCCCTGGTGGCGCAGCGGGTTAAAGCACTGCACTGAAGCTAGAGCCACTTTCACATGAGTTCGACTGCCGCCTGCCCGGGAGGTGACCACATGGTGTGGCAGACCTCTCCTGACCCGCCCGCTGCTCCCCTCAGCAGTGTACTTCATCTATCTGCCTGTTCTGCTCCCTACTCTGTCCCTGGTGAATCCTCTCACCCTCTGTATCTCTGGCCAGTACATCTTTAAAAAAAAAAAAAAAACTACCTGCCTGTGGCCCTCCCTGATGGTGCTACGGGTTAGGACGCAGCACTGTAAGCTGGCCACAGTCGCGTGAGTGGAGTTGGATCCCAGCCCGGGAAGTAATCCACATGGCCGCAGCAGACCTCTCCTGTCTCTCCCGCTGCTCCCCTCAGCAGTGTACTTTGTCTATCTGCCTGTTCTGCTCCCCACTCAGTCTCTGGTGAAGCCTCTCACCGCCCCTGCACCTCTGGCCTGTACCCCAGTTCTGTATGCATAAATAAATAGATCTTAAAAAACAAAACAAAACAAAACAATACCTGCCTGTAGTTAATAAAACTAGGTATCCATTTTGAATACCCTTACAAGTAGCTAGTATCCAACAGAGAGAAAATAACTAGGGACAAGGAATCAAGAATGTAGGCTGAATGGGTATAAACAAACAACTAGACAGTTAGGTTACATAATTGGATAAAAGATTTATTTTCTCTTAGATAAAACAGTCCTTCAATAAACACTTTAAATAGCATAAGTGTTCTGTTTTCTAACCTTATATACTTCAAAAACTTTCATTTCACTAAGAAATATCTAAATCTGTTAGAGACCCAAACTATGTAACAGAGATAGTGACTAGTCTATTAAATCTATAGCCCTTTACACAACATAGAGGCAAAGATGATTTAGAAAGAGCCAAATTCAGAGGCAATTATATTGCTTATTTCTTTACCAAATTATAAATTTTACTTATAGTGAGATTTAAAGAATCTGCTAGAAGAAATCTATGAGTTTTGATCCCTTTTTCCAGGGTGGATCTCAAAGGAGCCAGAATATCCTGGATTAAAGGAGCTTTTTCAGAGGTAAAGACAGGAACAGACCAGCAAGTTTAGACCTAGATTTTCTTAATCTGTTTTGGCCACATATAATAAAATCAGTATTAATGAGTGAAGGTTGTGCTAAAAGTGCCTTTGAAAAACTCCCTTAGACAGTGATAAAAGAGTGACTAAATTCCTAAGAACTGATGTTTAAAGGGGGCCTACAATATCTCAGATACTCTTCTAAGGATTTCTAGTGTCATTTTTCTTATTATTTTTTAACCTAACTGGGAATAATAAGGGAGAAAGAACACTGATGAAATAACAGTGCTAAGATTAGCCATGAAAAACTCAGTGGTGCTAAAGAACACAGTTAATGACCATGAAAATAGTAGCATTTTTGGTCAATGTGATAAGAATAATTTTCAGATCCATGGAACTTTTAAGATTAGTCATTATTATTTCAATATATTTAAAAGTTTTGCTTCTCCTAAATTTTGAAAGACTTTATCAAAATAAGTACTATGCATCTAATTTTGTTATCATTCCCATTGTCCTGACATAGTGAACTCCCATAATGCTCTGCACATTATATAGTGACAGAATGTTAGTGAGGACTTGTTGAAGTGAATCCTTATTTGTAATGCATACAATTTCCCCACCTTCTTTAACCACCTTATCAAAATCATTTTAATTCATTTTATTTTTTCAGTTTTGAGAAAACATGATATCCAAATATAACCATTTCTTTCATAGAATAGTTTTCAAATTATTCATGTTAGTTGTAAAAATTCTCAGATAAATACAGTAATCTGAAAAATATAAATAAGTACCATTCCTATTGTCATCACAAATGGGAAATTATCTCAATTACAGTCTTCTTTGAATATTGACTACATACCCCTCATTGCAGGTATAAACAACTTTTGCACCATATTCAAATGCATTTCCTACTGCAAGTCGGAAAGAACCAAAGGGAGTATCTCCAGGATGTCCACAGGGTTTTTCTAAAATGAAGAATATTGTAAAATGTTAGTGGATAACACAGAGAAACACATTTTATATAGGAGTTCAATAACAACTATATTTGATATTACATTTGGAAGAATTGAAAATAAGATGAAAATAAAAATGACAGTTACTATTTTAAAAATGAGCTTCTCTGTGAGTTTTGTTTTGTTTTAATTTTGGGAAGATTGTGGACTCTGTAGGAATAATGCTGGTGTATAGTTTTGTATTTCAGTCCCCATGGTGATGTAATTTGGCTTGGTACATTTATCAGTATTTTCAAAACTAAAAATTCTCACAAATTTTATCAGTGTCAATACTTACTTCGACATACCCTTGATGGATGAAGGGGGATCCATTTTCCACTCTTGCAGGCCATGGTAATAGTTCCAAGGGTTCTGTATCCAGGGCGGCATTTGTATGTAGCCAGAGTCCCCTCTGCATATGATTGCTCAAACCAGGAGCCTGACAGAATTTCTATTTCTTTCTTTGGAGGTGGCTCATTACAATCTAAGAACAATAAAAACAAAATAGCGATTAAAGTGGCTACTTAAATATACCATGTATTTAGGTTAGGTTGGTTTTGTTTTGTAAATCCTTGTATAGTTGCTAGCCCATTCAAATTTTTCTCTCTATCTTTCACATAGAAAAACTTAACCTTACAGAAGGTGACTCTATATAAATCTGTAAGAATTAACTTTCCAGAAAATAGTCATAACTTATTATATTATTATTAACTGCTCCATGGTATTTTACTGTTCATTCATTAATTTGGAATATGTTTATTGGGCGGTGTTGTCAGTACTAAAGGGAAAATTTAATAAAAGAAAATTTTCATTTAGTAAGGGAGTTATCAAATAAGTCATCAAAGTGATGTATAATATGCATTAGAGTATAATATGCTTTTATTTTTCTAACTATAACTAATTCTATTTAGATAAATTCTTCTTAGAAACTCAATTTAGAAAAAAAGCATGGTTAAGACGAGGCAAAAATTACATGAGATTCCAAAAGTGGATAGAATGGGATAAAACAGAATTACAGTTCTATTGCAAATTGAAAAACAAGAATCACAAATTGTGTGTGTGTGTGTGTGTGTGTGTGTGTGTTGAAAGGGATTAGAAATTGTGGCAACAAAGAGAATTATATAAATTAAACCAAAGTGCCTGTTTTGGGCAAACACATTGTCTCCAGCCACCTTTCACCTGGTTATGTTTGTTAAGTCTAACTATAGGTTGAAGATAAGACTTTGGATAAGGAAGAATGTGGCTTCTGGAGATGTATTTGATATGAAAAATTTAGAAATTTTGCAGAACCAGGATGATATACTGGAGTCTAGGATGTTTATTAAAACTGGCATTTAATTTCCTACAATCTAATGGGAAAAGTCCCAAGCAGAAAAGGAACCTGTTTCAAATACACAACTGGTGTTTTATCAAGACATCTGCCATATTTGAAAGTCACCTGGAGATTTCAGAGGAGCGGTTAAAAAAGCAGAGTAGGAAGATAAACCTTACAACCTCTTTTGAGATGAAATAGGTAGAAAGAAGACAGATTCTTGATAAATAGCACTAAAAGTTCAATACCTTGAGTCTTTTGAACCAAGAAATGGATTGCCAAACTAAAAGTTCAATTCAAGTTTAGTGAATTCAATTCCTCACTGGAGCAAGACATTAGACTGTTTTTCAGTGGTGCTGAGTTTATATTTTTACTTCTCACCAGGCACGCTTATTTTTGTATTGCTAGTCTCCTTTCCTTAGTTGGTTTTATAATCATCTTTAAACATTTTATTCTAGAATTTCACTGAAAAGGCAAGTGGAAAATATACCACAGTGGAATGCCTTCAGAGAGAGCACCCATAAAGGCCATATGTACAACTTCCCATACAACAGAAAACTATGCTTGAAACTACATTTATGTAATAGTATTTGTAAAGACTCCGGAGTACTAGTTTTCTTTTGATGTTTTTGTCTGTCAAATAAATAGCACTTTTATATTAGGGATTCCACATTAGTTTAAATTTTATAAACTATGTAAATATACCTTTTTTCCACTAGATGGTGCTAATACCCTATCATAAAAACCCACCACCTCCTAACTCTCTCAAGCTAGAGTTTTGGGTTTTAATATTACATTTGTGTTCATGCCTTATGTGGAATTTTTCTGTTCCATTGCAAACTAACATGTGTGTTTTCAATTTTCAGAATTTAGATCCATATTATGATGTTCTGGTTAGTTGGGGAAAATTAGTTAAATTTTAAATGTAGAGGTCAATTTTCCAATAATATATTATTGGAAATAATAATGAGTAGAGAACAATTTTCCAATAATATTTTAATATTTCAGTAAACTTAGTTTGTATTCTGTTGTTAAACTAATGAAAGAAGAGAATAGTACATTTTTTTCATCAATTAGTCTATTTGACTTTAAATTAATTTTATGAAAATAATGCATCTACCAAGAGAGAAATCCATCCAGAAAAAAAAAAGAAAAAAATCACCCCATTTTCACCCTAACTCCATTTTCCCATATTTCAACTACAATCTTCTTCTAGAATCTGAGTTCTGACTATCATTTGTGACCTTGTCTATGAAACAGCTTCCTAACTAGATGCTAAACCTCTGCCCTCCCATGTGCCACATAGGATTTTTGCAAGTTTATGTCCTTGCTGTGATCTAAATTCTCCTGACTTCCATTTACCTAAAAAGCATTCCAAACTCTCCCCCATGTCCTTGGATAAGGCCTTTCTCTCTGACCTTATCCTGTAACCTCTCCCATCTACTCGTAAAGCCAAAGCCAACCTGTTTACTTATTTGCATTTTGTTCACAACTGAAAATGTATTCTCCCTGCCGCCACTACCTCAGGCCTTTTGTACATAGTGTTTTTTATCTTCTTAAACACTTTTACGTCAAACTTTTGATGACTGGCACATCTTTCAGGCTCTATTCATATGTTACCTCCACAAAGTACTCTACTTATATCTAGTCTCAAAGTCCAGTCTCATTCTCCATGCTTCACTGCCCCACATCTGGTATTTTCCCTCAGTTCCTACTTTATATACTTCACAACATAATTCCTCATTGACGATCATTTCACTAGGATTTCATCAAACCTCCCATCAAAATGTAAGCTCCCTGAAAGTAAGGATCATCTATGCCCTATTTTTCAAATTGGGAGATTTTCATTAAGGCCCAGATCCTCTAACTCAGATATACCTCCTATCTACTTTTGTTCTCCTGTTACTCAGTATATTGAGTACAAGTTTGTCTCATTTTCCAGAAATAGAACATCCTATAAAACCTGTCATAAGTCACAATTGCTGTAAGAGAAGAATTGCCATTAATTTATATGGAATAAATTGTGTTCCCAAACACACACACACACACACAATAACCCAAAGCATCATACCAAAGCCACATGAAATCTAAAATAACACTAATATATAGTAAAAGCAGGAATGCTATAGAGGAGTCTGTATAAAGTAGTTTCTGGGGGAAAAGCATGGTTTCTAATTACACAAAAAAGTGTTATTTTAGCCTAAGTTAGACTGTTGTCAAACATATACCACAAATACATTTGCTTTAATTAAATTGACGTTTGAAAAAATAGAATGGGGGGGATGTCCTAAATAGGCAGCATTAAAATATTTCCAAAAGTACAAAAACTTTTTGAGATAGGGTTTTTTGAAACATTTTATTTTTTTGAACAGACATCTCATTTTCTTAAGTTCTAAGTTAATGAGTAAACTAAGCTGTCCTATGTCTAAGTGTATACCTAGGTTTAAACAATTAATATTTCATCACATGATCACATGTATTTATATATGAATTAAATGCCAATCAGTTTTTTTTTTAAGATTTTTATTTATTTATTCATATAGAACTGGGATACAGGCCAGAGATACAGAGGGTGAGAGGATTCACCAGAGACAGAGTGGGGAGCAGAACAGGCAGATCGATGAAGTACACTGCTGAGGGGAGCAGCGGGCGGGTCAGGAGAGGTCTGTCTCACCATGTGGATCTCCTCCGGGGCAGGCGGGAATCGAACTCATGTGGAAGTGACTTTAGCTTCTTAGTGCAGTGCTTTAACCCGCTGAGCCACCAGGGAGGGCCGCCAATCAGTTTTTTTTTTTAATGATTTATTTATACTTACAAAACCGGGGTACAAATCAGAGGTGGGGGGGGGTGTTGAGAGGATTCACCAGAGTGGGGGGGCAGTTTTTTTACAGAAACTACTTGCGTGAACTTTTTTACACACTTGATTTGACTTTCTGATTTAAAACTATTCAGTCGATGAATAAGGAAAATGAGTAGATTTGCTTTTAGTAGGAATAGAAATCATTTTGCTTTAGTTAAGGGACATTCTTAAAATTTAAAAGGGTAGTCTTTTAAAAATTTAGCAGTGAAAATAATTCTAGAATCTTCTAGTTTTAAATTTATAATACATTTAGAATAATTTTTTAAAAGATTTATTTATTCACACAGAACTGGGGTACAGGCCAGAGGTGCAGGGGCGGTGAGCGGATTCACCAGAGACAGAGTGGGGGTGCAGAACAGGCAGATCATGAAATACACTGCTGAGGGGAGCAGTGGTCAGGTCGGGAGAGGTCTGCCGCGCCATGTGGTCACCTCCAGGGTGGGGAACGAACTCATGTGGAAGTGGCTTTAGCTTCTTAGTGCTGCGCTTTAACCCGCTGTGCCACCAGGGAGGGCCACATTTAGAACAATTTTAAAGGTACTTCTGGCTTAAAATCATTTTACAATGAGAAAATGGGAGAATAACTGATAGTTGTAATATTTTGTAGAATAATAAGTGTATTATAATTAGTGATGAAACAAGTTACTATCAAGACACAACTTAGATGTTCCATCAAAATCAAATTTCTTGAAATTTCTTCTAAGTAATACCTAACATAACTATAGTTCAAGTCAAATTGTTAGCTTCTTAAAATAAAGTGTTCAGCCTCTCCCTGGTGGCACAGCGGGTTAAAGCACAGCACTATGAAGCTAAAGTCACTTTCACTTCCGCATGAGGTCCATCCCTGCCTGCCCCAGAGGTGACCACATGGCGGGGAGACTTCTCCTGACCCACCTGCTGCTCCCCTCAGCAGTGTGCTTTATCAGTCAGCCTGTTCTGCTCCCCACTCTGTCTCTGGTGAATCCTCTCACCACCCCTACACCTCTGGCCTGTACCCCAGTTCTGTATGAACAAATACATTTTAAAAAAATTGTTCATATATAGAAAAAATTTTCATAAATTTTGACAGATTACTATTTAAAAAGGAGCTTAGTCATAGGTGACATTAAAATGAAGACCCTGAAATGACTTAGCATTTAAATAATTGTCAGTTGAATCTTAAGAATAAGCATTAAAAGAGAAAGGGAAAGAGCACAATACACGCAGCACTCAATTTTACCTGCAGTACTGGCAGAAATTAAATTGATGGAACAATCAAAGAAATGGGAGATGATTTCAGTCCTACAATTTTACAGAACTTTGTTCTAACGAA